CAAGATTTGCCATCTTTTTAAATATATAACTTACATAATGCATTGTTAACAAGCATTTGATATATTGATTATAGTGGTGTGTTTCTGGTGCATGTTCTGGTTCAGCTTCAGCTGCAAGTACACTTGGTAAGTGTGATATTTATTGTGATAGATAGACGTCAGCTTTTTTTATTTACATTCTGTCTGTAAACACTCAACAGGCCACGAATCTTAATGGACTTTGTTCACATTTGGCATAATCATTACTTTCCTAGAGAGAATGGCACTGATGTAAATGCATGCCCAGACCACTACTGACATAATGAAACCCGGTTTCTTTGAATCTTTATGTTTGATCGTCTGCTTGGTCATTCATTGGAAGGAACACTTTGATTAAATATGAATATACGATAATTCAATAAGAACTGAAAATCGTTTTCTCACCTTATTTGTCATTATAATTTCGGAATAAATAAAATGGTATCACTGATGTTTGATATGATTGATTAATAAACATTGAGTATTCACAGACGGACTATTAACATAAAGTGGGCGTAGGCCATGGACCAAAATCTAAAGCTGTCGTCCTTCGGCTATATTGAATAAGTATCTTAACTTCCAAGATGATCCATTCAGAACGGCGGCCCGTACGCGAGGCGCAAACAGCGGGCGTAGCACCACCCATTCAAGGAAGGGGCGGTCATGCACTAAAATTAATAGGTGTTGTTCTCAGGGTAGAGACAATAGGTGTGTCAAGTTTCAAGACAATCGGTTACGAATTGTGGCAACAAAATATTACCAAAGAAGTGGGAATTGCACTGGCCCTAGGAGGCTTGGACACGGAGTTATTAAAAATAACTGAAAATGGCGAATGTAAAACAAATGTTAATATTTACGACCTATTGAGTATTTGTAACAGACAAAATATTTTTTTTACAAATGTGGGCCTGACACCGCCCCTGACAACTGGCCATGAACCAAAATCAATAGTTGGCGTCCTTAAGATATAAGGAATAAGTACGCTAAGTTGCAAGAGAATTCCTTGAGCATTGCGGTACGTAGGGAATACAGCCAAGAATTGGGCTGCCAAGAATTGGGCTCAGCTCTGTCCCTAGGGTCGAGCATGCACCAAAAACAATATGGATCATCCTTAGGGTGTTAGTAGTAAGCATGGCTAAGTTCCAAGCTGATTCAGTCCGACTTGCGGCCTCCAGGCAAACCCCAAGACATTAGCGTGGCTCTGTCCCCGGGGGTCGGACATGCACCAAAACAATGGGGATAATCGTTAGGGTGTAACGAATAATTATGCTAAGTTTCAAGATGATTCATTCAAAGTTGTGGCCTGTAGACGATACATCACGAACAAAACAGAATAATCGTTAAGGTGTAAGGAATGTGTATGTTAAGTTCCAAGATGATTCATTCAAAATTGCAGCTGTAGACGATACACCATAAAATTGGGCGGGGCAATGCAATGCAATGCAATGAGGGTGTAAGGAATAAGCACGCAAAGTTTTAAGACAATCCGTTAAGACTCGTTGAATCGCAACCGTCAAAGGTTAACGACAGAATGGACAAACCCGATCGATGGGCGAAACACCCTATCCCTTTATTCGGCAAATAAAAACCAGACATATAAAAATATATTTTCTAAAATACTTTTAGTTTTGAAATTATGTTCTTTTCACACATTTCGTGCGAATTGTTTTTTAGAGAAAAATTATATAGAAAGAGTCCGTGGGCATGCGCATAAATTGCCCTTCCAAGAGGAGAACACTGGATGACGAGAAGTCGGGATTATGACAAAGCGAGATAACGCAAATTATTCAAAAAAGCAAGATCATCGCATTTTCGCTGTTTCCTCGCGTTCTCGCTCTCTCACCCTCGACAAGAGTCGACTTCTCGCTCCGTCGCGTTTTCGGCTCCCTCAACTTCTCGCTTTCTTGACTCGTTGGACTTAGTTACCAACTAAATTAAAATTTTGGCTTTAACTCGGCGATTTTATTTCTAAGTTCGATGATTGTGAAATGACGTATATATTGTAACTGTTCTCGGTTCAGAGTCAACGCGTGTATATTCGTCCTTTTTCTATCTTTTAAACTCACTCTCGCGGCAACGTACCGACACTGCAAGACTGTGAAAGTTACTTTTATTTAACTGTAAAACTCTGTTGTTAGTTGCCGCGTTAGTGAGACTGGAACTCAAATGATCTAAACGAAATGTATTTTCCGTAATCTCGATTAACCAGACTTGTATGATTAAAATAAAATTACGGTACTGCGAATTTTGACCTCTGGTTTTGGGTGAAATTTAATTGGAGGATGTGGTGTACAAACGGGCTATGCCATTAATCGTGTTTAGTATGATTATGATTTCGCGCATAAAAGCTGCATTTGTAATTTCTAACATGGTGTTTACAAAACGTTTCAGTTATTATCAATTCAGCAACAACTTATTTCTTCTAGAATCGAAATATAACTAAAAAGACGGGCATTGACTGTTTCATAATTATTAAAAATCTATTGTGCGTCGTGCCTTCAATAACAATAGCCATAAAATAGAAATTTCTATATGGATACATAATAAGACACAACCAACCATAGAGTAGTAAATAAATTCACACAGGACTCGTTTATTGGATTTTTGTTCTGTGCATGAATCACTCTAGAGAATATTTAATTAGAAGGAAGGTCCTTTAGATTTTTGGCCGTTTTAGCAACAAAGAGGGATAGGGGATCAGGTGGCTAAGTGGGTAAGGCGCTGGCTCGCTAGCCTGGAGGTCGGGTGTTCGATCCCTGCATTGGCCGAGAACGTTCATCCAGATTTTCCGGCGTGGTTCCCCATTGTCAGTGATGCAGGACGGAGGGCCTGACAAGGACAGCTGTCTAGTCCTTCGGATGAGACGAAAAACCGAGGTCCCGTGTATATATTGGAATGCACGTAAAAGATCCCCTGGCAGTTGGAATTCGATATAAGAGTAGGCGATAGTGCCGCTGCCCGGGCAAAATTTCCCTCATAGCACACTGTATGGCGTATGCCCGTCTTCATTAGCCCAGGTTAGGAGCAGAACAGTAGGACGTTAAACCCCATTTCATTTCATTTCATTTCACAAAGAGGGATATTTTTTGCTCTTGAGATCATGAAGTTATTATCCGATATGAACTTTTTCCCGTGAATTTTAATCACGTCTGGCCATTGATATCCAATATGGATATTTTAAGGATATTCTTAGGTTTCATATGAACAAATTAATATTAATGTGCTGTTTATTTAATATCCAAATTTATAATGGCTAACCCTGAACACCGAGATGACAATTAGTACTAGCGGGCTTTGCCTTATATATACTTTGTAAACACCATACACCACTTTCGTATTAAGTATACACTATTAATTGCGGTAATACATGTTGTTTATTATGCTGAAGTACTTGCAATAAGTGATTATATAATTTAACGTAACGTACTGTCATACTCGTGGTAATTATGCTGTGTTGCTCGTGCGTGTAATGCACTACAGGTTAAAGATACATTATGGGAGATTAGATAAAGAGCTGGTAGTTCTCACTATAATAGTTAAAAGCTAGGTAATGTAAAGAGGATTTTCTGAAAATTTCAGTCAAATTGATCGACCCTGAACCGAGTATTTAGCGATTGAATTTTGGCCCTAGCCTCGATCATCATTACTAAAGTGGGTACGATAAAAAAAAAAACATAGTCTCGACTATCCATTTTTTTATTTAATCAGAAGCAGCAGATCGGGTTCTAATTCAGTAAATATCGCAGGCTAACGATGCCATCGAGAGTTGATTATGGTCTGGATAAGTTAATAAATGTCTAATTAATAATTTAGATAACATTTCAGGCCTAAAGAAAGACCGGCAATTGGCAGATTTAGCTCTTGCATAATGTATGTTTAATTGTACTGTACTACTCGTTGTAAATCTAATATAATACTTGTAAGTGCACCGTGAAAGTGCTGTGCTACCAATGTAAGTGTGCTGTATGAAATTTGTAAGGGTACTGTTTCATGTAGATTTCAATAGCGAATGTACCACAGTACCTTTTCTTTGGTTGGTGTGACAGACTAGGTTTAACAGATTTGGAATTTAATTATAAAATAAAGATACCCGCCGCTGTTGAACTGGGCCGTGAGTCTGACCCTGTGGGGACCCTCCACTCAACGACGCGGGAAAATTATTGAATAATTGAATGTCGGTGATAGCCCTGTCTGCCTCTGTGGTCATAACTTCGAAGATCCCTAACATTATTTACATTTACTCGTATGCCCCTTACATTCAGATGCAAGAAAACAGACAATCAAAAACCTTCAATATACTTATAAAACGATCAGTTGTCTTTTGTATGACTCAAATAAAAAACACTTATTTTCCAAGAAGTTCAACAATTTATTCATTTATCAAAATGATTATAATCGCCATAAAACAATTTTACATTATTTTCAGCCATACACACCGTACAATCATCTAATATCATCCCTCTCCCAAATGTTTGTGAGATTTGGAAGTATTGGATGAATGTACGCTGTGTAGGCCTTACAATACCCTAACACCAGTACCAAACAGTACTTTCAAAATGGATTTCTACCAGCTAGAATATTTATAAGAAAAATGTCTCTATATTATCCATTAAATATATCATAATGTAATTATATATGTATGTATATATTTATACTGTGTACATGTAAGTAAATCAGATATTTACTGAATATAAATAATGTTTATAAAAAACGTGTAGATGGTGCTTCTTAGAGTATATCATTATCTTATGATCACATTTTGCGGGTGGCAATCTTACCAATTCATCAAAAACGGCGTTAATTCAAGACAAGAAAGGGTCCCCAAACTACGTGAGTGAGAACATTAACCTCTTTATGACCTCCAGAGCCTAACATACTCACAAACAATTCCTCAGCCCATCCCTGTTTCATATGATTACTGAAAGTTGTATTGTGGTTTTTATTTTTTGACAGAAAATTGTCCGCAAGGTGACAATCCAGAAATGAGTTGTGACGCAGTTTCGTGTTCAACGTACAATGCAAATCAACTAGACGATTGTTGTCAAACATGCGGAGCATCCCAACTAGTCTCAGAAATACCAACAGGACCCGTATCCGATATACCAACACAACCCGTATCAGAATTACCAACAGGACCCGTATCAGATATACCAACACCACCAGTATCCGATATACCAACACAACCCGTATCAGAATTACCAACAGGACCCGTATCCGATATACCAACACAACCCGTCTCAGAATTACCAACAGGACCCGTATCAGATATACCAACACCACCAGTATCCGATATACCAACACAACCCGTATCAGAATTACCAACAGGACCCGTATCAGATATACCAACACAACCCGTATCAGATATACCAACACCACCAGTATCAGAAATACCAACTGGACCCGTATCAGAAATACCAACACAACCCGTATCAGAAATACCAACACCAGTATCAGAAATACCAACACCACCAGTATCAGAAATACCAACACCACCAGTATCAGAAATACCTCCTACGACGGCATTTGTGTGTGGGAATTGGTGTAGGTGGTGCAGACGAAGACGGTGGAGATTGCGTCGTCCATATTGCGCTAAATACCAATGAAAAGAAAATATTTGAACACCCGTAAAAAAAACAAATTGTATATCATTTTAAATATTAGGCAAAAAATTATACAAGGAGTGATAACGTAAATAAATCAATATCATAGTACAATGCCCTCTTATATTGCTTGGCCGTTTATGGGTGGGGCCCGGTTCCATAAAGGGGAACATCTCAACATTTATTACCTTTTCCACTTGAGGGATTTGGTAGGACGTCCACAAGATTTTCCAGCATGACACCCCTCGTCCGTGTCGTGTAGTCGTTCGGATGGGGGGGGGAGCCTTGGTCCCGCGTACACATTGGCGTGCACTTAAAAGAACACTTGGTCGTTGGAACTCTAAAAGTATGCCGTAGTGCCGCTGTGCGGGCCAAATTTCCTTCATAGCACACCGTATGGCATATGTCCGTTGTAACACTATCAACAGAATATCAGTTTTGTAAATATAGAAACTATTTACACCGGGAACAGCATATGGAACTGGAACATAAATTCAACAGCGGCAAAAACAAGAACATAAACCCGCTGTTATATACCGTCCATTCCAACAAAGGAGAAAGGGGATACTAGCATCTAATAAGGACTAAGAAAAATACCTACGAAAGTTGGTTGAAATTCACCAAAGATGCATTATGTAAGATTTAGATAAAGAGTTGGCCATTCTTACAATAATAGTTAAAAAATAATACATTGGAAATATATTGAAAATTTCATTCAAATTAATTTATTTTGAGCAAAGTTGTCACTGTTTGAAGTTTTAATAAGATGTAGCATAGATTGTTTATTATCGTACCAATGGTACTTGCACCATTTAATCCAGTTACATCTCCGCCATTCGATATTCTAGAGAGTAGATTATAGGCTTGTCAACTGAATAAATGTCTTCGGTACAATGTGTCAAGCAGCTCAGAAGAAAAGTGTGAAAATTTAAAATCTCGACCAATATTATCCTATGGATAAGGCTAGCTAAAAAGGTCTGAGCCTGAAAAGCATAGATCAATTGGATTGAAACAAACTGTTGCCACCAATAAGTACCATCATTGAATGACTCATAGAAATAAGAACTGCAACTATAGTAGTATTGTTGTCGTCGTACCAGTTCATTTTGTAAACCCACAAGAAATGGACAAAACTGAATGCCGACATGGTGTCCATTTTAGGAGATGGTGCCTCTTTCTTTTTCGGAGTAAAAAAGTGGGCTGTGGAATTTAAGCGTGGTAGAGAGAGGGGGTCTTGACGATGACCCGCACCCCGGAAAGCCATCAACATCAATCATTCGATAAAACATTACCCGGGTGCATGACACGGTGATCGACATATTGCCATTGTTGTGGGCATCTCTCGTGAGACGGTTGCGCATGACAAAAGTTTCTGCAAGGTTGGTGTCAAAGCTTTTGACTGCGGTTTAAAAACGAATCAGAATCCGGACATCACGTGACAATCTGCAACTTTTTAAAGCAGATCCTGGTCATTTTGGCCACATTTGTAACTATGGATGAGACCTGTTTTCAAAAATGAAAAGGGAATTAACCGGTCGCCATTTTCCTAGTAATGATGACATCATGTTAGCTGTGAACGACTTTTTTATGATGGCTGAGGAAAATTTCTTCCTGGCCGGCATCCATACCTTGCAACATCGGGACCAACATATGATTCGATTTTATTTCAGTAATTCGCTTGCACATACGCGTTAACCATTCGGCTATTCAGCCACCCACCCCCTTAACGCGATAGAGGCTACAGGTCTTAACCGATTTTATTCAGAGAGAGAGAGAGATCCACTCGACACATACTAGGTCATTTTGAGACTAACATATGGTTCAATTGTATTTCAATAATTCGCTTAAGCGTAGGGACCTAGCTTCTATGTAAAATCTTTTTATCATCAGTTGGACCACGCAGCAGACGAACAATATTTTTACCATTTTTAAGGCCCCAGATCAATAGACTGGATAAAAACATTGAATGGGGTTGGCCGTTTCGTTATTTTTAAAAGCCCAGAAGAAATCTATAGGCTGTAATGCCATTTTGGTAGGTGATAACCCCAATCCGTTTCTATTTAAAGGACAATATTGGTGTCAGTTATATAGAGGCATGATATATGACTCGTGTTTTCATTTGGCGTTCGTCACTTCCAATTCAGGAAGCCTGTATTACTCAGCTATCGTAGCAATGATCTCTGTGTTAAAATTATATTTGGAATGTGTTTAACCAGCTCGATCACATATGTGATAATGACTGGCACCAATATTGTCAGAAAATGAAAATTTGGATAATATTCTAGGACAACAAATCAATAAAAATTGCCATACAAAAAAGGGGGAGGGGGGGGGCAAATACTTGCTTTAAATAGACGGACTACGTTCGACAAATTTCGGGAAGCCATTTCTAGTCTTAGTCACATCAATATAATCACTTCTCATTTAATTTGCATATACACATTTCTTATAAATTAATATATGAAATGAGATTAACAGAGGCCCAATACATGTACCACAAAAGAAATACCTTTTAGCCTATTTTGGACTTTCATGAAACATGGGAGTCACCATAATGTTTAAATAGTGAAGTAATCGATGTGGTGTATTGATTTAATCTCGTAAACCTCAAATCTATAGGCTGTAATACCATTTTGGCAGGTGATTACCCCAATTAGTTTCTATTTAATTCCTGACCCAGCCCATCCTCGGTATCCCCAGTGGTCTCATTCCGTTCTACTCCGCTAACCCCTGGGTTAATCTACGGGGGAGAGGGGACGTTTTCAAGATATCTGCCCTTGATAATTGTGATATTTTATCGACCAATCCCATAAATCGTTAATTGCAAAGGAAGTTGGCAAAAGATGTAACTCTCATCGGGTAAAATAAGCAAAACGCAAAGGCTCCCCTTCAAGAGAAAAGGTTAGTAATTAGCCAGAAGGTAGCCTAAATGAGAGAAGTCCAAATTATACTAAATGCGTATTTATTAACAAAAAATTACAATTATTATATATATAATAATGAAGACAGGACATGTGTTTATATATATGTAGGTTCAACAGTTTTAATGAGAATCATAATGCCAAATATAATTTCAATAATAACTAGAACTGCGATGCAGTAATGACGAGTTTCATCGGCGCCACGTTACCCTTGAACTTATGTCACTTCCGGTACTAATGAAACCGTTAAACAGATTACCACATAAGCACTGCACACGTGTTATAAAATGGACGCAGAATCAACCAAATCCAGCAATAACAATTCCATTTATACATTTGTTACCATGTGTTACATATGCCAAAAAAGTGATACTGACAAAATTCGGTACTAAATTACCGCAAACTTAAAATGCGAAAAAAAAATTTAAAAGTGACCTTAACAAAATTGTTTTTTTCTCAGTAATGGAAGAAGTTGGAAGCATTTTTTTTATATCCATAGTATCGTATTAAATCATTCTATATGTTGGACGAAATTAAATATCATAATTTCAAAGGAATACTGAATAACACTCATTTGAAGAAGATATTTATTTTTGTCAAAATGTTGTCATTTCCAGTAAAAATAAGTTTTTACAATTAGTTTTATGAAATCACAAATGGCATTAGGCATTAAATGGTGAAACTTTTATGAAAATCAAATAATAATTAACACTTTTATGGACCAAACAACTTGCAGAAAATCAAGTATTTCTTCACAACTGAACAAGTTAGAAACAATTTTGTGATATCTATATAATCGTATGGCTTCATTCTATTTGTAGAATGGAATTAAATATAATACTTTTAAACTCGAAATATAGATCTATATTTTAATTAAAATTGGATGGACATTACGCATCAAATGGTGTCACCTTTATGAAAATCCAATAATAATTGACTCTATTACAGGCAAAACCGCTCATATTTACAAACTAATTTCGACATAGATTGTCTTCGTATAGATAGCTGCTACAAATTTATGAACATTCAATAGAAATATTTTAAAATATGAAGAGCCTGAATGGGTTATAAATTATTTAAAATTACTCCATTTTTCAGCTTAAATCGAAATAGCGCAAACACAAAACCCAAAATTGAGTTCGACATTTTTTACGCCTGTCATAGAGGCATTCTTCTTGATCTATCAGATTAATAAAAATTAATATTTGCTTGCGAAAAGACGGGTCAAAATTGTAAATTCTTGCAAAATTTAGTCACTTCCGGTGCCGACAGAATTTGTTGGGGTTTTTTATCCGTAACAAAAAAGTTGAGAATTTGCACCATGAACCATACGAGCTTTATTTTATACATATCGGGCACTAAATAATTAACCTAGAACTCAAACTGAAATTAAAATGCTAAAAATCTTTAAAAGTGAACCTGACAAAATTTGTTATTTCTCGGCAAGAGAAGATATTAGATACATTTTTTATACGCCCACATTTTCATGTAGACTTATTTTGTCGTCGCCCCTGTCTGTCCGGACGTCCGTCCGTCTGTCCACAATTTTTTTGTAGACACACTACAGGTCACAATTTTGATCCGATTTTGAAAAAACTTAAAATATAGGACTATCTCCCAAAGATCTCGGTTCCTTTTGATATTGGCATGTATCGGACCATAACTTCATGGATTATGTCCCCTGGTTGTACGATAAATCGTGTTTTTAGCTTGTGGACACTCTAGAGGTCACAATTTTGATCCGATTTTAATGAAACTTGAAATGCATGTTTATACCCCGAATATCTTGTTTCCTTTCGGTATTCGCGCATATCGGATCGTAAACGTCCTGAATTATGACCCTTGATTGTACGAAAAATCGCGTTATGAGCTTGTGGTCCTATAGAGGTCACAATTTTTATCCGATTTGAAAAAACAATAACACCAGAATACCAGAAGCACCATCCAATGAAAACCTTTAGCACCACCAACACCAAAAACAGTGAAATCGCCTTTGTATATAAATCTAATATATGGTATGTATTTTTAATAAAGCTAGGAAATATCACGATGTAATTTTTCATCATCCTAGGTCAGTGCTTA